GGTACCCGCCGTTCCTTATAACAGGTACCCGCCGTTTCTTATAGCGGGTACCCGCCATTCCATATAACAGGTACCCGCCGTTTCTTATAACGGGTACCCGTCATAACATATAACGTATATAACGCTATGAAACATAGCGTATTAAACGCTATTTTTTGCAACAGGTTACCCCTGAAACAGACAGAACAGGGGTAACCCGCCGTGAAATATAACGTATATGCGCTACAAAACATAGCGTATACACGCTATGTTTTGCTACGCACTTTTGACCATGGCGGCTTTCCATAGACTTTTGATCAGTATGGCGCTTCATACTATACTCTATAGATAATATACTTTTCTACATATGGTCAATCAGTGACTAAATTAGTAAGGTTCATCATGATTTTATAAATACCCGATGATCATTTGATTCATTCATTTTTTTCCTTCCGAAATTCATTGTTTTTTTTAAATATGACGGAAAAGACGGAAAAGACGGAAAAGAGAAATTTTCGGTTTGAAACTCTTCAATTGCAGGCCATACATGATACACCTGATATTACTACACGTGCAAGAGCTGTTCCAATTTATGCAACTACTTCGTTTACATTTAAAAATGTTGAACACGCCGCAAATGTTTTTGGTGGTAAAGAAGTCAGCTCACATTTATACGAGTGTATTACATTTTAAAAAATTTTTTTTTTTTTTGATTTTGATTTATAATTTTATTTTAATCAAAAATAATTAATCAAATTTTCTTTCTTAAAAAAGATAATCCAACATCATGTAAATAAATATTAGATTTATTTTACTTTTATTCTTACAAATATATGTTGATCCTTATTTTATTCATAAAAAAAATTATTAGCTGTATTTGAAGAGAGAATGGCCGCGCTTGAAGGGGGAACTAACGCTATTTTTACACCATCTGGACAGGCTGCACAATTTGTTGCCATATCAACGATTTGCTCGGTGGGTGATAATATCATTTCAACAAATTGTCTATATGGCGGAATTTACATTCAGTTTAAGGTATTCTTTTGTAAACTAAAATCTTTTAAAGTTAACATCATGTGTGCTAGTTATTTTTTTTTTTTTAAACGAATAGGTTACACTTCCAAGATTTGGGATCAATGTTAAATTCGTTCAAGGTGATGATCCGGAAGAATTCGCTAGATTAANTTTTTTTTTTTTTAAACGAATAGGTTACACTTCCAAGATTTGGGATCAATGTTAAATTCGTTCAAGGTGATGATCCGGAAGAATTCGCTAGATTAATAGATAATAAAACGAAAGCTATATATCTTGAGTCTATGGGAAATCCAAAATTAAATATTCCAGATTTTGCAATTTGTAAGATTGCACATGTTGCGGGAATACCTGTTATTATTGATAATACCTTTGGTGCTGGTAAGTAAAAAGAGATGAGGGATTTTTTACTTTTATTTATATTATTGATATCCAATTAATTGATTGTATATATTATGTATATATAAGTGGTTATCTTATTAAGCCAATTGAACATGGTGCAGATATTGTTGTTCACGGTAGGTTTATGATTAACTCTTGATTAATCGTCATTTTGGAATATCTATTTGTTAATCTTTATGTCACTCGTTAGGCGCAACGAAATGATTGGAGGTCATGGAACAACAATAGGAGGCATAGTAATCAATGGAGGTAAATTTCCATAGAATAATGGAAGATTCACGATTTTTTACTGATCCAAGTCCTAATTATTATGGGTTAATTTATTGGGATACATTTGGGTATAATGCCTTTACTATGAAAGCACGTTTAAAATTATGCGTATTGGACCATGTCAAAATCCTTTTGGATCATTTTTATTAATTCAAGATCTTGAAACTTTATCATTAAGAGTTCATAGACAAGCCGAAAACGCTTTAGAATTAGCAAAATGGTTAAAATCAAGAGATGATGTCTCATGGGTTTCATATCCAACATCCTTATCATGAAAATGCTAAAAAATTTATGCGGAATGGATTTGGATGTATTTTGGCTTTTGGTGTTAAAGGTGATGCTAATACTGGAGTCGCATTCATTGATGCTTTTACAACTTGCAAGGTAAGGAGGTTAAAACCAATTTAACTAATTATCTTTATTCACATGAAAAATTAATTATTATTAATATTTCTTTAGTCATTTGGCAAATGTGGAGACGCAAAAACTCTCGTGATACATTCTGCTTCAACGACACATCAACAATTAACGGACGAAGAACAATTGTCTGCAGGAGTAAATAAAGAGATTATACATGTCTCTGTTGGCTATGAACATATCGGTGATATTAAAGAAGATTTTACAATTGCGTTTGAAAAAATTAAAGAAATCAATTAATATTTCTTAACTTTTGTTCACGTAATTTTATTTTCACGTTCAAGATAATAATATTATTATTTATCTTATATCTAGCTAGATTATAAGAACACTATTATTATTATAATTTTTTTTTTTAATAGGGAATTTGAGTCAAAATTATGAATTAACATTTATAATTGACAAAAAAAATAAAGTTTATTTTTGAATCATTATACACTGATACACATTTATGCAAGTGTTAAACTACTACACAGATGCTAGACATGTTTTACGATGCAATGCCTTTAAAGGCTTTTAGCCAATAACGTCATAGAATATTAGAATATGCAAATATTTTGTATTTTGGAAACAACCCGAGATTTTATGGAGCTAAATTACTTTGTTCTAGAAAGATAATCGTTCTTGTATAATTTACATTATTTTAGAATATTAGTAATATGAGAATATAATTGTTTAGAATAGTTTTACAATTAATTCCACGTAGAAACAAATAGAAGAAAAAATGGTTGAAACCAGGAGTACAATGTCTTGTTATTATTCAATGAACTCTTTTTTGTTTTTTTTTTTTTTTTAATTAGGTCAATGAACTCTTTTTTGTATTTAGGTATCGATCTACTTTTTTTTTAATAAAAAAAAAATTTACTATATTCGGTGTTCATTGTAATGAGTTTTAGAATAATTGTCCTATAAAGTAATTATACAATCTCAAATTGTCGTACACAGTTATTTTTTTGACCTTATTTTATATGCAAAAGAAGATAATAATTTTTTCTTATTTCCACTTTCGTACAAATTATTTTTTCCGTTTCCTTTTTCGTTAATTTGTACTTTCCATCATTATCTTCTATGTTGAAAGGTTTATTTTATTACGCCAAATACTTAGATATTACCACTAGTTGATCATATGAATTACAACTAAATAAGTAAAAATGATAAAGTTAAATGTATTAATTGCATTTCGCTATGCATTTACTCCCGTAGTACTATGGTAAAATTCTTAAGATTCCATGAGAAAATCTAGAAATACTTTCCGTATCACCAACAAAAGGCTCAAACTCCTGATAATTCAGATATAAATAAAATACGTACATTCAAAATTTTCCAAATTCATTATCTTATCGATACCTGTTTATAACAAATATTAATTACTAACTTAAAAAATGGAAATTGTAAATTCAAATGATGAAAATTCTTTTGATCCGACACCAAGATTAAAATCTAGTCCTATACCAATTAAATTTATTTCTTTTAATTGGAAAGATGAAAATTGTGTTTATTGTGGAGAAAAATATATTAAGGCGTTTTTTTGTTATCAACTTTATTGCCAAAAATGTTTATCACGTTATATTAATGATATAACTGATAATAATATATATTTGGATGTATTTTACGCAAATAACATAGAATGTAGTGAACATGAAATAAGTAGGACAAAAGTACCACAAAGTATTCAAGAATGTTGTGGAAATTGTGTGAGCATTTTATGTTTTAAACAAATACATATTAGTTATACTATTATTTATAATGGAATTGATAAAAATATTTCCACTTTATACAATAAGGTGATTGAAAGTGAAAAAAATTGTAAATTATGTGAAAAGTCATTATATCAAGGAACAGATAAAAAGATTATGGAGAAAATTAAATTATGCTCAGATTGTTATATAATTTCTTCTGAATTGATAGAATCAACCTTGGTTAGAAAGCAAATTTCAATTCTTTACTTACCATGGTGGGATAATAGCCTTAATTGTATTATTTGTTATTCTGAGTTAAAATTTACATCAGACTGTCAAAAGTATTGTGGAAATTGTTATCTATTTTATGTTGGATGCAGATATTGTTTAACAACAAACATTTTTTTTGGACCTACGGATCAATCTAAATGTAAAAAATGCAAACGAATATCACTTATTAGTGGATGCATTGGTCTTGATGATTTTATTTTTGACAACATTATACATGATAATTTAAATAATTTAGAGATGAATAAGTTTAAAAATATCGTAAAAAAAATTGATAAATACTTTATATCAGACGATACTATATTAAGTTCTATATTTTCTATAATTAAATTAAAAGGAAAAAATGAGATAAGATCAATTAGATGGATATCTTTTTCTCAATTTACAGATGTTAAAGAAATAGCAAAAGGAGGATATGGTATTATATATAAAGCAACTTGGTCGAATAAAAATAATAAAAATGAAACTGTCATTTTAAAAAGATTTGAAAATTCTAAAAATATTGGAAAATATTTCTTAAATGAGGTAAAATATTTAAATATTTCTTATATAATTTCTTGTCAAATAAACTTAATTTTTAATTTAATTAAACCTTTAAATTTAAATAGTTAAAATCAAATCAACATTATTTTAAAGAAGATTATATGTTGAGTTATATCATTAAAATTTATGGCTTTACTAAAGATCCCGAATCAGAGGATTATGTATTAGTTATGAAATATGCGCCAAATGGAGATTTACATAAGTATTTACAAAAGAATTTTACAAATATTACATGGAATATACAAAAATTAATTATTTTATATGACATTTCAATGGGGTATGTATATTTTATATATATTAATTATATTCTAAAATTTTGTCATCAATTTTTTATATTTTTAGACTTGAAACTATTCATAATAAAAAATTTATGCATCGAGACTTCCATAGCGGGAACATATTATGTGATTCAAGTAGTAGATATAGTAGGAATAAATATAAACATGATAAATTACAAATTGGAGATCTAGGATTATCACAAGCTGTAAATAATAAATCATCAAATAATGAAATATATGGAGTAATACCTTATATTGCACCGGAAATATTTAAAGGATCAAAATTTTCTAAAGAAGCTGATATTTATAGTTTTGGTATGATTATGTGGGAACTTACAACAGGGTGTAAACCTTTTGATAATGTTGAACATGATCATACTCTTATTTATAAAATTCTTGATGGAGAACGACCTAAAATTACAGAAGATACACCAGAATGTTATGCTAACTTAATGAAAAGTTGTTGTGACCCTGATCCAAAAAAAAGACCTTCTATAAAAGAAATTCGTTTAACTTTTAGTGGTTGGATATTTAGATGTAAAAATAAAGCAGAATTTATTCAAGCTGAAGAAAAAAGAAAAAAATTGATAGAATCAAAGAAGATTGGGCCGGAATTTGCTAAAAAGCGACATTCAGGAGCCATTTATACAAGTAGGCCATTAAGTGCTTTAATTTCTAAATGTTCATCCATCTATTCTTCAACAATTTCATTTGGTAAACAAGGTATTACAAAAAAAAAATTTCGATTGTAATTTAAAAATATTTTATATATACTTTAATTTATAAGAAATACGTTATAATCTTTAGATTCCAATTATATCTCAGAATTAAAGGATGATAAAGACACTGAAAGGTATTTAAAATAACGAAAAAAAAAAATTTATTTTAAATGATGTAACTAATTATTTGAATTTATTAATTTATTTACTGCTAGTTTATCGTCACAAAATTTAAATTTTGCAATTCAAAAATTTTCAACCTCTTTAAATTCTAATTATATCTCAGAAGAATTAGAGTTTGATATACAAGACAATGAAAGGTATTTCAAATAACAAAAAAAAAATGTTTTATATGACACAAATAATTATTTGAATTTTATTAATTTTTAATTGGTTTTATCATCTCAAAATTTAAGTTCTACGATTCAAAATTATTCAACCACATTAGATTCTAGTAGATATATTTCAGCAGAATTAGAGCTTGATATAAATACTGAAAGGTATTTAAAATATTGATAAAAAAAATGTCTTTAAATGACAACTAATTATTTAAATTTATTAATTTTTAATTATTTTATCATCTCAAAATTTAAGCTATTCTAGATATATCTCAACAGAATTAGAGCTTGATATAAATACCGAAAGGTAGTACTATTTAAAATAATGATAAAAAGAATGTTTATAAATGACACAACTAATCATTTAAATTTACCATATAATTTTTTGTTCAGTTTCAGATCACAAAATTTAAAAAAGAGAAGAAATGAAGGATATTTAAATTTAGAAACTCATGATGATAGTGGTAAATATTTATCTGGCTCAATTTTATTTTATTATTGTTTTAACGTTTACATTATTAATATTTAATTTTTCTATTTAAATCAAATATGAAAATACTATTATAGGAAAACGTATTAAAACTAATTTCAATTATCCATAGAACTATGAAAGTAAAATATTTCGTTATTCTGCAAATTCAGGACATTAGAAATATTTAATAATTTTTATTAGACTTTCTCATTATAAAAAGAAAAGAAATTAGAACCCGGGCATAATATTTATTTAAGTCTCGAATTTGTAATTTTTTTATTTCATATACAAAAATATAATATTTATATAGTAATACTTACTATTGTTCATATTAACGAATAATTGTTTATTTATTTATACTGAATATTTTAAAGTAATTGAACAAATAAATGAGTACTAGTACTTTTTCTTTGAAGGTTCGCTGTCAATCAATTTATCAAACACGTTCGTTTTCTATAAGATTAATATAATTTGAGCATTTCAATAATATGCAAATAAGTTGTTTAGAATGTGATTTTACAAATATTCCGGTCGGTCGTATTTTTTCGGTCAGATTTTGTTATACAAAAATTATTTAATAAATTTTTTTATTTTCGATTGCAAATTGAACAAATTGAAGTGCTTTAGATTGAAATTTAGTTCGAATTCCTTATATTGATATATATTTTTTTCCTTAAAATGTCACGTAAACAGAAATTATCTAATTTTGGTTGGTTATTTTTTGGCGTTCGACCAAAAAAATTGGGCGTTGTACAAACTGATCAGCCCAATCAAATAAACTTAAATCCGAAAAATGCGACCGACTGGAAATGAACAAGGCTATAGAAACAAGTAGCCGTAAAAATATTTTAAGTCACAAAAGCATTAAAAATTCTGAGAGATAAAAGCTATAAGCTAGTATTCATTGTTTTACACAAAAAAGTAAAATGAATTCTAATTGTTAGTATCATTGTGTGCTAAAAATTAAACATGTTTATCGGCTTCCGAAACGGTATGACCTGCTTCGACCCACCAGAATCCAGATCCTCTTGTCTCTTCTGTACATATTTTCGTCTCGTAATTCGTTAATTACATTCACAACCTTTTCCGGAGATGTATATTATTAAATTCGTCGATTCAATTTTTGGTGTTTTTTCGAATCATGATGCTCGTCTATATTTATTCACTGTATCGATTACTTTATCTTCGGTGGGTAGTTCATCTACTTTCGTATCTGAAACAGCTTGGACTTTATTCTTCATATTCGGCGAAAGAATTAGATTTTCAAACCATAACCCTTTTTTTCTATTCCTTCTTTTTCTAATGAAGTCGTAATCGCCTTCGCTAACGCCCCTCATCTTTAAAATATGCATAGATAGAAGACTCGCTTCCCTTCTATCTTCAAACTTTAGCAAATAACCAATTATAATTCCCAATAAATTTAAATCGCAGGTCCGCTTCTGAGAGATTTTTTAATCGTCGGATAATTCTTTATAAGCGACCTATTTAAATCGTTCTTTAATGTCTGCCAATTTTGTTTCTTTTGGAAACCATCGAAAAATTTGTACTTTTACCATATAGTTTCAAAGACAAGATTACTATACCTTTATCATTATCCATGCCTATTCTGATTCTCCTTTTATAAGATGTATTGATACCTGTGCTGTTTTTTGATCTTGACACGTCTTACTAAGCCGAAATCTTATCGTCACGACGTCACGCTAAGATGCTAAGTATTTGTGTCGATCCCTTTTTATCGGTAATTTGCTGCTCCGGTTTTCGTCCCTTGTTGATTCCAATTCCCGTGACCTAAATAAGTATGCAATGACTAAAATTGGTAAGGTTCTGTACGTCATGACTTTTTATAAAAATAAATTTATTCATCGTGATCATCATTCATTTTTTTTTCTTTACAATTAATTCATTGAATTTATAACCAAAGAATTTAAAAAAATGACGAAAAGATGGAAAAGACAGAAAAGAGAAAATTTCGTTTTGAAACTCTTAAATGTAAACAAAGTAGTTGCATAAATAAGAAGAAAAGTGCGTGCAATTGAGTATGTCATAAATGGTTTTGGAGGTAAAGAAGTAGCTCACGTTTACACGAGGTATTCCATTATAAAAAATTTTTTATTTGATTTTGATTTACGAATTTTTTTTTAAAAAATCAAAAATAATCAATCAAAAAATTTTTTTCTTTTAAAAAAAGGATGAAATGTATAGATAAAAGAATTTATTTATTTCACACTTTTATTTAGTGCAACTAAAATGCCGACTCTCCTTTGCTTTGTAAAAAAAAAATGTTAGCTATATCTGGACAGAGAATGGCTGCGCTTGAAGGTGGATCTAACGCTATTTCTACGTCATCGGGTTGCACAATTCGTTGCCATATCAACGATTGTATACTTCAACAAGTTGTTTATACGGCGGAACTTACAGTACATTCAATTTAAGGTAATTATTTTTTGTTGTAAACTAAAATCTATTAAAGGATACCATACGTATTAATTATTTCGAAAAGGTTACACTTCCAAAATTAGAAATCAAATTCGTATTCATTGGATTAATTGATGATAAAACAAAGCTATATATCTTGAATCTTGGGTATTCGAAATTAATCTTGTTAATATTCTAGATTTTGAAGCAATTTGTAAGGTTGCACATGATGTGAAAATACCAGTTACCGTTGATAATACCTCTCTAATTAACTTGATTTTATATATAGGTAGATATTTTATTAATCCAATTGAACATGGTGCAGATATTGTTTATAATAGGTTTATGATCACCTCTTGATTAAGCGTCCCGTTCGTTAATCTTTATGTTCATTCGTTAGGGACTGAAGGTTATGGAACAACAATAGAGGTATAATGATTGATGGAGGTAAATCCCCATGGAATAATGGAGGATTCACAATTTTCACTAATCCAAGTTCTGATTATCATGGATTAATTTATTGGGATATATTTGGATATAATGCCTTTACTACGAAAGCACGTTCAGAAATTATGCGCAACGTAGGACCGTGTCAAAACCCTTTTGGATCATTCTTATTAATACAAGGTTTTGAAGCTTTATCATTAAGAGTTCATACTGTATATACACAAGCTGAAAATGTTTTGGAATTAGAAAAATGGTTCGAATCAAGAGATGATGTCCTATAGGGTTCATATTCCCATCCTTATCATGAAAATGCTAAAAAATATATGCGGAATGGATTTGGATGTATTTTGGATTTTGGTGTTAAAGGTGATGCAAATGTTGGAGCCGCATTCTTTACAACTTGCAAGGTAAGGAGGTTAAACCAATTTAGTTAATTATTTTTATTATTTCTTTAGTCATTTAGCTAATGTGAGAGACGCAAAAACTCTCGTGATACATCTTCAGTTGCTTCAACGACACATCAACAATTAACGGACGAAGAACAATTATCTGCAGGAGTAAATAAAAGAGATGATACGTGTCTCTGTTAGCTATGAACATATTGATGATATTAAAGAAGATTTTACAATCGCGTTTGAAAAAATTGAAGAAGTCAATTAATATTCTTAACTTTTGCTCACGTAATTTTATTTCACGTTCAAGATAATAATAATATTATTTATCTTATACATATCTAGCTAGATTAAAAGAAGGCGGCTGTTATTTCTACCCCCATTTTTGTTATTTCTACCCGCCTCTGGCCAACATTATGCAACATTATGCACTGACACGTGATATCGCTTGGCCAAATTTTCCTTAATTCTGGCCATGAGGGTATGAATAACAAAATTGGGGGTAGAAATAACAATGGCCTAAAAGAACACTATTATTATTATAATTTTTTTTGATAGGGAATTTGAGTCAAAAATATGAATTCATTAACATTTATAATAGACAAAAAAAATAAAGATTATTTTTGAATCATTATACACTGATACACATTTACATCAGGAATTTTTTTCCGTTTAAAATCCACATGGAAATCCACATCAAATACTGTGGAAATATGTGGAAATCCAAATAGTTCCAGTATTTTCCGAATACCCTGTGACGAAACACGTGGTATTTTCGGCATAAGTCCACGAAATTCGGTGTGGATCCATGTAGGATATTGGGAATGTGTGGAATTCCACGTATTTCTGAGCAAACCCACGTGGAATTACATGGACCGACCCACCTAAAAACTTCCTGATGTATGCAAGTATTAAACTACTGCACAGATGCTAGACATGTTTTACGATGCAATGCCTTTAAAGGCTTTTAGCCAATAACGTCATAGAATATTAGAATATGCAAATATTTTGTATTTTGGAAACAACCCGAGATTTTATGGTTTTTAATAGAGCTAAATTACTTTGTTCTAGAAAGATAATCGTTCTTGTATAATTTACATAATTTTAGAATATTAGTAATATGCGAAATATAATTGTTTAGAATAGTTTTACAATTAATTCCACGTAGAAACAAGAAAAAATGGTTGAAACCAGGAGTACAATATCTTGTTATTATTCAATGAACTCTTTTTTGTTTGTTTTTTTTTTTTAATTAGGTCAATGAACTCTTTTTTGTATTTAGGTATCGATCTACTTTTTTTTTAATAAAAAAAAAATTTACTATATTCGGTGTTCATTGTAATGAGTTTTAGAATAATTGTCCTATAAAGTAATTATACAATCTCAAATTGTCGTACACAGTTATTTTTTTGACCTTATTTTATATGCAAAAGAAGATAATAATTTTTTCTTATTTCCACTTTCGTACAAATTATTTTTTCCGTTTCCTTTTTCGTTAATTTGTACTTTCCATCATTATCTTCTATGTTGAAAGGTTTATTTTATTACGCCAAATACTTAGATATTACCACTAGTTGATCATATGAATTACAACTAAATAAGTAAAAATGATAAAGTTAAATGTATTAATTGCATTTCGCTATGCATTTACTCCCGTAGTACTATGGTAAAATTCTTAAGATTCCATGAGAAAATCTAGAAATACTTTCCGTATCACCAACAAAAGGCTCAAACTCCTGATAATTCAGATATAAATAAAATACGTACATTCAAAATTTTCCAAATTCATTATCTTATCGATACCTGTTTATAACAAATATTAATTACTAACTTAAAAAATGGAAATTGTAAATTCAAATGATGAAAATTCTTTTGATCCGACACCAAGATTAAAATCTAGTCCTATACCAATTAAATTTATTTCTTTTAATTGGAAAGATGAAAATTGTGTTTATTGTGGAGAAAAATATATTAAGGCGTTTTTTTGTTATCAACTTTATTGCCAAAAATGTTTATCACGTTATATTAATGATATAACTGATAATAATATATATTTGGATGTATTTTACGCAAATAACATAGAATGTAGTGAACATGAAATAAGTAGGACAAAAGTACCACAAAGTATTCAAGAATGTTGTGGAAATTGTGTGAGCATTTTATGTTTTAAACAAATACATATTAGTTATACTATTATTTATAATGGAATTGATAAAAATATTTCCACTTTATACAATAAGGTGATTGAAAGTGAAAAAAATTGTAAATTATGTGAAAAGTCATTATATCAAGGAACAGATAAAAAGATTATGGAGAAAATTAAATTATGCTCAGATTGTTATATAATTTCTTCTGAATTGATAGAATCAACCTTGGTTAGAAAGCAAATTTCAATTCTTTACTTACCATGGTGGGATAATAGCCTTAATTGTATTATTTGTTATTCTGAGTTAAAATTTACATCAGACTGTCAAAAGTATTGTGGAAATTGTTATCTATTTTATGTTGGATGCAGATATTGTTTAACAACAAACATTTTTTTTGGACCTACGGATCAATCTAAATGTAAAAAATGCAAACGAATATCACTTATTAGTGGATGCATTGGTCTTGATGATTTTATTCTTGACAACATTATACATGATAATTTATATAATTTAGAGATGAATAAGTTTAAAAATATTATAAAAACCATTGATAAATACTTTATATCACACGATATATTAAGATCTATATTTCCTACTAAATTTAGAAAAGGAAAAATTGGGATAGGATCAATTAGATGGATATCTTTTTCTTTATTTACAGATGTTAAAGAAATAGCAAAAGGAGGATATGGTATTATATATAAAGCAACTTGGTCGAATAAAAATAATAAAAATGAAACTGTCATTTTAAAAAGATTTGAAAATTCTAAAAATATTGGCAAATATTTCTTAAATGAGGTAAAATATTTAAATATTTCTTATATAATTTTTTTGTCAAATAAATTCAATTTTTAATTTAATTAAACCTTTAAATTTAAATAGTTAAAATCATGTCAGCACTGTTTTGAAGAATATAGGAGTTATATCATTGAAACTTATGGCTTTACTAAAGATCCCGAATCAGAGGATTATATATTAGTTATGAAATATGCGTCAAATGGAGATTTACATAAGTATTTACAAAAGAATTTTACAAATATTACATGGAATATACAAAAATTACTTATTTTATATGACATTTCAAAGGGGTATGTATATTTTATTCATTAATTATATTCTAAAATTTAGGTTATAAATTTTTTATATTTTTAGACTCCAAGATATTCATAATAAAAGATTTATGCATCGAGACTTCCATAGTGGGAACATATTATGTGTTTCAGGTACTAGATATAGTTCGAATAAATATAAGCATGATGAATTGCAAATTGGAGATCTAGGATTATCACAAGCGGTAAATAATAAATCATCAAATAATGAAATATATGGAGTAATACCTTATATTGCACCGGAAATATTTAAAGGATCAAAATTTACTAAAGAAGCTGATATTTATAGTTTTGCTATGATTATGTGGGAACTTACAACAGGTTGTAAACCTTTTGATAATGTTGAACACGATCATACTCTTATTTATAAAATTCTTGATGGAGCACGGCCTAAAATTACAGAAGATACGCCAGAATGTTATGCTAATTTAATGAAAAGTTGTTGGGACCCTGATCCAAAAAAAAGACCTTCTATAAAAGATATTCGTTTGGCTATTAGTGGGTGGATATCTAGAAATAAAAATAAAGCAGTATTTATTCAAGCTGAAGAAAAAAGAAAGAAATTGATAAATTCAAAGAAGATTGGGCCGGAATTTGCTGAAAAACGACATTCAGGGGCCATTTATACAAGTAGACCATTAAGTGCTTTAATTTCTAAATGTTCATCCGTCTATTCTTCAACAATTTCATTTGGTAAACAAGGTATTACAAAAAAAAAAATTTTTTTGATTGTAATTTAAAAATATTATCTATATATTGCAATTTATAAGAAATTTGTTATAATCTTTAGGTTCCAATTATATCTCAGAATTAGAGGATGATACAAACACTGAAAGGTATTTAAAATAACGAAAAAAAAAAATTATTTTAATGATGTAACTAATTATTCGAATTTGTTAATTTATTACTAGTTTATCGTCACTAAATTTAAATTTTGCAATCCGAAATTTTTCAACCTCTTTAAATTCTAATTATATCTCAGAAGAATTAGAGTTTGATATACTAGACAATGAAAGGTATTTCAAATAACAAAAAAAAAAATGTTTTATATGACACAAATAATTATTTGAATTTATTAATTTTTAATTGGTTTTATTATCTCAAAATTTAAGTTCTACGATTCAAAATTATTCAACCACATTAGATTCTAGTAGATATATTTCAGCAGAATTAGAGCTTGATATAAAGACTGAAAGGTATTTAAAATAATGATAAAAAAATTTCTTTAAATTATTTAAATTTATTAATTTTTAATTATTTTTTCATCTCAAAATTTAAGTTATTCTAGATATATCTCAGCAGAATTAGAGCTTGATATAAATACTGAAAGGTATTTAAAATAATAGTAAAAAAAAATGTTTATAAATGACACAACTAATCATTTAAATTTACTGTATAATTTTTTATTTGGTTTCAGATCACAAAATTTAAAAAAGAGAAGAAATAAAGAATTTTTAAATTTAGAAACTCATGATAATAGTGGTAAATATTTATCTGACTCGATGTTATTTTATTATTGTTTTAACGTTTACATTAATATTTAATTTTTTTATTTAAATCAAATATAAAATTATTATTATAGGAAAACGTATTAAAACTAATTTCAGTTATTTACCATAGAACTATAGAAGTAAAATATTTCGTTATTCCGCAAATGTAGTGTATTTAGAAGTATTGAGATTGCAATACGAATTATATACATTTTAATAAATAAATTGTCAACGCGTTTACTATAAGATTTATATTATTTGAAAATTCAAATAAGTTGTTTTGTATTGATTCAATCACTGATCTAAACCTAAAAGGTAAAAGAATGAAAAAAAAATAATTAGGAAAAAATATTACTATATAGGTATAAAGAAAAAAAAATTAAAATCTGAAAAAAATAATAAAATGGGTTAAAGAAAAAAGAATCAGTTTAAAGAAAAAATCAGTTTAAAGAAAAAATTTCTGCTAAAAATAACGAAAAAATTTCGGTTTTAAAAAAAAAAAATTTCGATATAAAAAGAATTTTTTTTTTTAATTTTTTTTAAGTCATTCTGCTGCGGCTAATCGTATCATTCCAAGTGGAAATATGATTAATAAAAACTTTTTTCAAATTTCATTAACTGGATCTTCTCGGAACAAATTATATAAACTAAATTTTATCTTTTAGTACTTTGGGAATTTCTTTGTTAATTTAATTTTTTTAAAGACCTTAAATATCATAAAGTTTTAACAAGATAAGAAATTTAATAAATTTTATTATATGGAGTGAAATAATATATTGGCGTACTATTATATACGGTATATAATGAAAATACGTAAATCAAAATTTGTCAATAAGTCAATAACTGACATGAATTAATCTAGAAATTAATATTTATAGTATTTACTATACTTGAATTTTACATAGTATTGAGCAATCAAAACATTAAATATTTGAGTTAGACCAAATTCTGTTTTAAAGTATCGACAATAATAAAAAGTTTTTTTTTAAGGCAAAATGTTAAATTGAAATTCTAAATTAGACTAAAAATAAACTCTTAATTTACACTTCCGAATTACTAACTTACCACAAAGACATCCTTTTATGGTAAATACAGTAAATCAAATACATAAGTAGTAACTAATCTTACGAAGACTTTCTTTTTGCGACCAAAGCCTTTATAAATTCTTCTTATTAAATGGCCTAATACCTTATATATTATTTGTGTACATCTGAAGTATTCAATGATGTTAAATTAATCTTTAAATAAGTGAAGATTAATTACCATTACACAAATAATTTGCATTAATCAGTTAATGAGTTATTTTTATTCCAAGTTATACAAAGGTATTCGTTAATATCCTGAAGTATTAATTTAATATTGCTAAAATGTTGACAGTTAACAAAGCAAAAATTAAGGTTTCGAATTTCGTTAATCATGAACCCACAAAGTAGCATGACATACAAAAAGATCTTTCTTATAAAGAACTTTCTTCTCATTTGGGAATGCAATCTTTGAAATTGCTTTAGATAAAGGTGTTTATTTAAAATTTCAAATTTATAATCTTTCAATACTTTTTTTATTGTTAATATTATAAATTAACTTCGATGTAGTGTTTTAAGAATTTTTAGAATGGATTGATCCGTGCTTTTTCACGGCTGTTATAGTTTTCTATTTTTAAAAATTATTGACTTTCGATTACGTAACACACTACTAAGCTAGTGTTGTTTCTTATCTTAGATTTGATATAGACTGTTTATCGTAAATCATACTTTTCTACACGAGAATCAATGATTAAATTGGTAAGGTACTGTACATCATTTTATAAACACTCTTAAGCTTTGATCATTTTTGACCCTTAAATATGACGTAAAAGACTGAAAGATAGAGAAGAGCAATTTTCGTTTTGAATCCCTTCAATTGCATGCAGGTGATTTTGCCACACGTGCAAGTGAACAGAGAATGGCTGCGCTTGAAGGTGGAACCAACGCTATTTCTACATCGTCTGGACAGGCTGCACAGTAATGTTTCGCCTATTTTAGGTTTCCCATTCCGAAACTGCGAAATTTCCGAAACCAGCGAAATTTCCGAGACCAATTACGTCACGTGAATTCTTTTTTAATTGGGGACTAAATTTAGTCACGACGATCTTTCATCTAATCATCTCGCACATCTCGCAGATCTCGCAGAGATTTATGTGACGCGTTGTCGCGCGTAATTATAAACAACCATTCCCCCTTTTCTTTTTACCTGACTTCGAAAACAATTAATTATCAATTATCATTTTCTTAAACTATGTCTACACAAGATTTTATTAGGATACATTTGGGTATAACGTCTTTACTATGAAAGCACGTTAAGAATTATGCGTAACATAGGACCATGTCAAAATTTTTTCAGATCATTTTTATTAATACAGGCATTGAAACTTTATATTAAGAGTTCATAGAATTAGCAAGATGGTTATAATCGAGAGATGATGTCCTACTATGAGTTTCATATCCAGGACTTGAATCACATCCTTATCATGAAAATGCCAAAAATATATGCGATGTATTTTGGCTTATGGCGTTAAAGGTGACGCTAATGTTTAGCCGTGTTCATTGATGCTTTACAACTTGCAAGGTAAGATTAAATAAATTTAATTGATTTTTTTTTATTCGCATGAAAAATTACTTATTACTATAATAGTAATTATTAGTCATTTTGCAAATGAAAAACTTTCGCGATACATCCTGCTTCAACGGTACATCAACAATTAACGGACGAAGAACAGGAGTAAATAAAGGGATGATACGTGTCTCTGTTGGTTATGAACATATCAATGATATTAAAGCAGATTTTACATTGTATTTGAAAAAATCAAAAAATCAATTAAATACTATTCTCAACATTTGTTCACGTAATTTTATTTTCACGTTCAGATAATAATATTATTTATCTTATATCTAGATTAAAAGAACACTATTATTATTATAATTATTATTTTTTTTTTTAATGGGGGAATTTGAGTCAAAAATAAGAATTCATTAACATTTATAATAGATAAAAAAAAATAAAGATTATTTTTGAATCATTATACACTGATACACATTTACTATGCATGTTAAACTATTACTACACGCTAAACATGTTTAACAATAATTGACCTTTAAAGGCCTTTAACCAATAACGGTATAGAACATTAGAATATGCAAATATTTTGCATAATATCTTGGATATCTTATGGTTTTAATAGAACTAAATTACTTTGTTCTAGAAAGATAATCGTTCTTACATAATTTACATAATTTTGGAATACTAATAATAATATGCGAATATAATTGTTTAGAATAGTTTTACAATTAACTGCACTAAGAACAAATAGAAGAAAAAGTGGTTGAAGTCACAACGAGATGGAGTACAATATCTTGTTATTATTCAATGAACTTTTTTTTTGTATTTAGGTATCGATCTACTTTTTTTTTAATAAAAAATAATTTACTATATTCGGCGTTCATTGTAATGAGTTTTAGAATGATTAGGCCGCTCCAATTTGATTGTTTGTTTAACGTCCAGAATTTATGAAGAGTTTGAGGGTCTACAATAAACAAACAAACATAATTTGGGAAATTCTAGAAATTCTGGAAAATCATAATTTAAATTTAGAAGGGCATTTAAACATATTTATTACTATATGTTTAATAGAATGATAAAATAAAATAAATAAAGTACATTAAACAAATAATTTAATTGGAGCGGCCTTATTTATACTAGTACAAAAGTAATTATACATCTCAATTTGTCGTACATAATTAATTTTATGACCCTATTTATATGCAAAAGAAGAAATAATTTTTTTTTATTCTCCGCTTTTGTACAAATTATTGCTTCAATTTTTTTCCGTTCCCTTTCTTGTTAATTTGTACTTTCCATCATTATCTTCTACGCTGAAAGGTTTATTTTATTACGCCAAATACTTAGATATTTCCGTTAGTCGATCATATAAGTAAAAATAATAAAGTTAAATATATTAATTGCATTTCGCTATGCATTACTCCGATAAAATGCTAAATTTTTCAAACGGACTTTTCTGTAGTACTATGGCAAATTCTTAAGATTCCATGGGAAAATCTAGAAATGCTTTCCGTATCACCAACAAAAGGATCAAATTCCTGATAATTTAGATATAAATAAAATACGCATATTCAAATTTTCCAAATTTATTGTCTTATCTATACTTTGTTTATAGCATATATTAATTAACTTTTAATGAAATGGAAATTGCAAATACAAATGATGAAAATTCTTTTGACCCAACGCCAAGATTAAAACCTAGTCCTATACCGATTAAATTTATTTCTTTTAATTGGAAAGATAAAAAATGTGTTTATTGTGGAGAATATTATACTGATACGATTCTTGGTGTTAGACATCAATATCATTATATTCGGCGGCAGGAATGGCAACAATATTGCCAAAAATGTTTATCGCATTATATTAAAAATGTAACTCATATTAATATGTACTCGGATGTATATATGGACTTGGAATGCAAAGAACATAAAATAAGTAGGACAAAAATACCACAAAGTATTCAAGAATGCTGTGAAAATTGTGTGAAAATTTTATGTTTTAAACAAATAGATGTATTTATTGCTAGTTTTTGCAAATTCACTTTAGATAAAGTGATTGAAAGTGAAAAAAATTGTAAATTATGTGGAAAGTTATATCAAGGAACGGATATAAAGAGTATAAAAGAAATTAAATTGTGTTCGGATTGTTATCTAATTTCTTCTGGATTGATAGAATCAACCTTGGCCGCCCTATAAAAAATTTTTTTTGGATGTATTCCGATTTTTATCTGGTTTATGTATTCCGAAAATTTTCCGATTTTTATTATCCGATTTTACTACGGAAAGTGATCATTTTTCGGAATGATAATTACAGATTTTACCCGAAATTGCTCAGTAAATTCTATGAATGTAAACGGAATATTATCAGATATTTTACAATATATATTATCCGAAAGTATCCAGAAAATTTATTGAATATTACAGATTTACGGTTCTTTTTATTCATATTTTCCAGCTATTATCTGAAAGTACTTATTCTATTTTTTAGCTTTCTTATGATTTTTTCAAGTAGTAATTTGGTTATTAGCTGTTTTTTTCTTTTGTTGAACTTGATTTTGTTATTCTAGTTAAACTTTTATTGCCTCTTATATTTATCAAATTTAAATTGTAATATTATAAATATTTGTAAACACTAACAAAAATTATAAATATACCGGAATTTCTCGAATCCTATTGTATTTGTGAAGATACTAATTAAACACCAGTTCGTTCTTTCAGTAATTGAAGATGCTTCAATAATTGTTTTAGAAGGAGTTGATGCAGATTTCTTAATAACTTCAGGTGAGGACAATTGGACATCAATATCAATACTTGATAATGATTTGGTGTTTGTGAATTTGGACTTGTTTTCTTGAGTTTTGGATAAGGGGGAGTGATACATTTTCGTTGGGAGGTGGATCATACCTTGTAATGAGCTTATTTAACTTTTTTCTTGCATTCAATCTCAGCTATAAATTTATATTAATATCAAGTTAAAATTGTACGTAATAATAACATACTAAATATTACCCAATTTCCAACGATATCTACGCTCATTTTTGCAAATAAAGTCTCCCACTGAAACAGGAAATGTTGGAAAATCATTTTTAAACTAAATAATAGTTTAGAAAGTTAATTAGGTTTAAGAATATGGAAGATATAAATATATAACTTAAATTATTAATGACATTTTGAATTTTACCCAAAGTTTCTCTGCAATTTCTGCAATTTACAAATTCTTCGTTAGGACATATTGTTAAATTTATAAAATTGTAAAATTATACTTGCCTGATAAGTCCAATATGTATCATACGATAAATGGAGAAAATCTTTCCAGTCCTCTTTTGGTTGTTTCATTTTTTCCGTTGTTTCCATTCTTCTTTGGTAATAGGATTTTGTATACTGAACCACGTGGAAACTAACAATTATTATTAATATCACTAATATTATTTTTGAAACATTTTTGTATTTAATTACCGATGTGTTAAATTGATAGTATAACAGTAGAAATAGGCGTTGGAGTTGGCGCAGAAGGGGTTTGTTGGATGATCATAGCAGAACTTTTGGATTCGCTAGTAGCTGAAATAATAAAGTTATACTTGGAGTGGATTCTAAATTTATTATAATATTTGAATTATTATTGTTATTTTTATCCATGTTATCACCTATAATCTACAAATAAAAGTAATTTTATGTGTAAATTCAGAATATTTAAAAATCTCATTAAAACTTTATCCTTGAACTACTACTCAAATAGTATTATTATTATTTTATATTTACCATTAATATGTCAATATTTATTTTTTTAAATATTTTATAAGTATTATTGTAATAGTAATATTAAAAAAAAAATGATAAGAATTAAGTTCTAAAAAGCAAAAATACGTTTTTATTTATACTTTCATACTTCAATGATCATTTATTGCGAGCTTATTTTTTGACTTAAATTATAACGCGTTTTTTATACTTATATATATGTTTTAAACGCGTCCACTTACCTTTTTAATAGTTACTATGTAATTTAACTAATTTATTAAGTGATCTACATGAAATTGCTTTCCGGAGTATTTTCAATTTAGATATAAAACTGGATTATTTTCGGAATATTTCTAGAAATTTTCAGTTATTTTAAATTCCTAAAATTTAACTAAAACAACATTCGCAACATAATCGGAATATTTTCAGTAATATTCGGGACATTTCAAAATATTCGGAAAAAAATCGGAGTGTGCCGAATAAAAATTTTTTATAGGGATGGTTAAAAAGCAAGTTTCAATTCTTTACTTACCATGGTGGCTTGATAATTCTAGTTGTAATATTTGTTTTTCAGAATTAACATTTACATCAGACTGTCAAAAGTATTGTGTAAATTGTTTTATATTTTATGTTGGATGTAGATATTGTTTAACAACAAACATTTTTTTTGGACCCACGGACCAATCTCAATGTAAAAAATGCAAGAGAATATCGTCCATAAATATTAGTGATTTTGATTTTGATGATTTTCTTTTTAATAATAATCTTATGACATGCGAAAATTCAGATTATTTAAAGTTAGCTGAATTTGAAAAAATTGTAAAACATATTAATGAATATTTTGTACCAACGGAAATATTAAAGTCTATATTTAAAGAAAGAAAACAAGTAAAATCAATTAATTGGATACCATATTCTCAATTTAAAGATGTAAAAGAAATGACAAAGGGGGATATGGTATTATATATAAAGCAACTTGGTCAAATAATAACAATGAAACTGTCATTTTAAAAAGATTTGAAAATTCTAAAAATATTGGCAAATATTTTTTAAGTGAGGTGAAATATTTTAAACATTCTTAAATAATTTCTTTTGAACAAACTTATTTTAATTTAATTTAATCTTTAAATTTAAATAGCTAAAATCATATCATCATTGTTTTAAAGATAAAAAATGTCATATCATTAAAACTCATGGCTTTGCAAAAGAACCTGGGTCAGAGGATTATGTATTAGTTATGAGATATGCGTCAGGAGGAGATTTACATAAGTATTTACAAAAGAAAAATATTGCATGGAATAAACAAAAAGTACTTATTTTACATCAAATTTCAATGGGGTATTTATATTTTATATTTTATATTTATTAATTATAATCTACAAGTTTAGGTTATTAATTTTATATTTTTAGACTTGAAGATATCCATAATAAAGAATTTATACATCGAGATTTCCATAGTGGAAACATATTATTTGATTTATATAAAAGTAGATATGTCGATGATGAATGGAAAATTGGAGATCTAGGATTATCACAAGCCGTAAATAGTAAATCAACAAATAATGAAATATATGGAGTAATACCTTATATTGCACCGGAAATATTTAGAGGGTCTGAATTTTCTAAAGAAGCTGATATTTATGGTTTTGGTATGATTATGTGGGAACTTACAACAGGTTGTAAACCCTTTGATAATGTTAAACATGATCATAATCTTATTTATAAAATTCTTGATGGAGAACGACCCAAAATTACAGAAGATACACCAGAATGTTACGCTAACTTAATGAAGAGTTGTTGGGATCCTGATCCAAAAAAAAGACCTACTATAAAAAAAATTCGGTTGACCTTTGGTAGGTGGTGGGCATTTGGAAGTGTAAATGAAGAAGAATTTAAACAAGCTGAAACAAAAAAAATGTCATTGATAAATTCAAAGAAGATTGGACCGGAATTTGCTATAAAACGACATTTAGAAGCCATTTATACAAGTAGACCATTAAGTGATTTAATTTCTAAATGTTCATCCGCCTATTCATCTTCAAACATTTCATTTGGTGGTAAACAAGGTATTATTATAAAGGTTAATTTCAATTTAAAAAATATTATATATAATTTATAATATGCTATATTCAATTATATTTCAGGACTTGAGAATAATACGGTCACTAAAAGGTATTAAAATAACAAACATTTTTTTTTTTTTGTTTTTAAATAACGTAACTAATTATTTAAATTTATTAATTTGCTTATTATCACAAAACATAAGTTCCACAATTCAAAATTTTTCAACCCCTTTAGATTCTAATTATATCTCAGCTGAATTAGGGCTTGATATAGATACTGAAAGGTATTAAAATAATGAAAAAAAAAGTTTTTTTAAACAACACAACTAATTATTTGAATTTATTAATTTTTTTAATAGTTCAACATCACAAGATTTAAATTCTGTAACTCAAAATTTTTCAACTGCTTTAGATTCTAATTATATCTCAGCTGAATTAGGGCTTGATATAGATACTGAAAGGTATTAAAATAATGAAAAAAAAATGTTTTTAAGCAACTGACACAACTAATTATTGAAATTATTAATTTTTTAATTAGTTTATCATCTCAAAATTTAAGTTGTACAAATCAAAATTTTTCAACTTCTTTAAAAAAGAGAAGAAATGAAGAATTTTTAAATGTTGAAACTCATGGTAATAGTGGTAAATATTTATCTGGCTTGATGTTATTTTATTTATTTTTGTTTTTTAACGTTTACATTAATATTTAATTTTTTTTTAAATATAAAAATATTATTATAGGAAAACGTATTAAAACTAGTTTCAATTATCTATAGAACTATAGAGGCAAGTAAAATATTTCGTTATTCTACAAATGCAGATTATTTAGAAATATTTAATGTAAAGAAATCAGTAGAATCCAGATAAGATAGTATTTTATTATTATTTGTATTTGCAAATTTTTCCATTTCATATATATTACAAATATAATAATTATATATATATATATATTAATAAATAAATGTATATTTTTATTTCAAATATTTAAAATAATTGTATAATTAAACGTATAAACAAATAAATAATATTTCTTGGAAGTCAATTACTGTATTTTGGTAGCTTTTAATTATGGGCGATGATCGTACGATTCGTACAATTAACTTATCAATACGTTTACTGTAAGATTTATATAATTTGAGAATTTTAATAACATTTAAATAAGTTGTTTAGATTGCAAATAACTACACATAGAAGCAAGTGGATGTAAAAAATATTTAAGACACAAAAGAACGATATAAGCAGTACCAAATAAATTTAATATCTAGATCACATATTTACAGTATATCCATTTTGATTGAAGATTGTAAGATTTTGTTTTAAATTTATTATATTTTAGCGGTTGGCAAATGACCAGGTCATTTTCTGATCAATATTTAGGAAAATTAGTTATTACATAATATACTAAGTATTATTACTGAAAAAAAATCAATAAGATTTTATTTTTTCGCGTATTTATTATAAACATTTAAAATATTTTTATTAAAAAATGTATCTTATTTGATTTTCAACTTTTATTTCTGTATTATTTTCTCTCTTAAGGCATAGATAAAATTTGACTACAGCAACCCTATAAAAAAATTAGATACGTTTTTTATAAAGTTTTTATACGATTTTTTTCCTTAGAAATAACGTATCATAATAGGATACGGAAAAATGCACAATTCCGTATCACTAAAAATATGGTTTGGATACGGAATTTGCACGG